GACCACCGTGACCGAGAAACACCCAAACACTCGCAAGCCCGCCGGCGATTGAGGGCAGAGCTTTAGTCATAGACCGTACAGTAGCATCTAAGGCTCGCGGATTCAGTGCTGGGCCGAGCGGTTAGAGGCGACCGCAGGCCGGAATCCCGCCATCGCCGAGGAAGGCACGATTTAGCTGAATTGAAGAAGAGAGTTGGATGGGTTTGGGCTAGGGTTATCGCCGAGGAAGGCTTTTTTATGTTCCGGACTTTCTGGTTTAGTTAAATAATTTTGAATCTTTTGAAATATGATTTTAAATATGTAAAGTCCTAAATATGCATATGTATAATTAAATATGTAAATTTACGGCAATACATTGAAATCCTTTAACTAATAGACAATGTGCATATCAAATCTTAAAGTATCTATAGCATTGATATTTTTTATTTGATAAAAAAATAAATATCAAATGCTTTTTTGATTAATCTAAAAACAGGTATAAATCCGTGCAAATGATCTATATAGTATAAGAAATTTATATTCACTTATATAAATGAGTGCTATACTCATTTGATACCGAATGTTCTGAAAAAATTGAGCAAATATACACTAAATCGATCCTGGGTGATCGAGTTATGGGTCAATGACACAACTGAGGTTGATCGTGAGTGACTAAGTTATTGGTCAGTTTGACCAGACCAAATCGATTATTGAATTAAATATCATTTTTAATATTAAAATACATTATTAAAATAAATGTAATAGTTCATACTCCAAATAATCATATTAAGAATGCTTTTGTGACAACATGTTTAAGGAATTATGAACAATTATATTTTATTTTATTAATATTTATGTGAATAAAATGATGTTGCATTACAACTTTATTAATGTACGGTAAATTCAAAGTTCTTAGGAGATGACCGTTTTCAAAACGATCAAGTTATTTATTAAATGATTTATTAATTGCGTTAGAATTTAAATTATTAATATTTTAATATATATATATAGTACTTTTTATAATAAATTTATAAAAAAATATTAATTAAATATATGAACAATTTAAAAATTTTCAATGTTTAACTAAATGATAAATAATTTATAAATGTCCACTTTATTTAAATATGTATTTTTATACTTATATTAAAAATAGTTGTNAACAATTAATAAAACACTTTTCGTTTTCCCGTCTTTTTTCATTACTTTTGCATTAATCGCAATTATATTTTTTATTTATTTCATTATAAAATTGCTACTATTAACTAATAATGAAGGTACATTAAATGTTATTCTATTCTAAAGATTTTTTAAACTATATATTTAAAATTATTATTTTTTTTTTTGTTTTTTTTCACCTCATCAAGCAAGTCTTTTTTACTAAAATTAATTAATTAATTTTTATGGCATAACGAACTCTTTAATGATTTGTACGCAAATGCAATATTATAATTTCAATATTTTTCTATCCAATTAATTATCATAATCAACCAAGATTGTATAAATTTAAAGATTAATATGTAGGTTAAATAGTTTATTATTATGACCCCCTTCTCTCTCTGCAATTCGAAAACCTAATCGCTCAACCTCTCTCTCCAATTCGCCGCCGATAGCCTTCCCCGGCGACGGGGCTTGGCCAGTGGTCGCCTCTGACCGCTCGTCCCGCCTCGGTCGTCGTGTGCCGCCTCTGAATCGCTGCGACTCTGATGGGTCGCTACCCTCCATTTGATGGCGATGTGGAGTCCCGTGGAGCCGCTTCTCTGGTCGGAGTCTTGTCGGCGAGGGGTGGGGCTTTCCCAGCCTCCGGCGGCCCTTCAATCGGTGATGGTAAGATCTTCTCCCTCTCTGCTCTGCTGGCTTTGGAGTCACTGTTGGTGGGTGCCGTTCTTCTCAGCGGAGCTTCCAGCGGGTGGTGGTTGGCCGGAGTTCTGCGGTGGTGCTCGGCGGTGTGTGGGTCCGAGGATGGGGGAGATCACCGACTGCTGCATCGTGGCGGTCGGGGTGAATGACCCGTACCATCTACCCCCGCCCCTTTTCGGCTAGTGGTGTTAGGCGGAGGGGGGCTGGAATCCTAACTTCTTGAACTCGGCTAGTGGTGTTAGACGGGTTCGGGAGGTGAGGGTGGGGTTTGGTTGGTCGGGGTTCATTCGGTTGGTGGTGGATCGATTATGGGATTGGTTTTGGTTTCGGTTTCGGCTTCTGTATAGGCGGTTGCGCAATTTCGGTAGTGGCTTCTCGGGCTGGGACTATTCTTGTGTCGGTTGTCCATTGTTGTTTCGGGCTAGCTTGTTCGCTGGGGAAGGGCTGTTAGATTTATTTTAGTTTATTTTTGTTGTTGTCGTTTTAGTTTATCTTAGTAGGTCTATGCTTTTGTTATTGTTATTGTTCTGTTTGAGTGTTTTTGGTTTGGGCCGTTGGCCTCTGTGCGCCCGGGTGTCAAATTTATTACTCCGTGGGGGTCCGACACTCGGGTATTACTCCGTTGGGGGTCTTGTTTAGTTTTGTTGGTGTAGTTGGTTTTGTGTGGTTGCGTTTTTCGTTGTTTTAGTGTGTGTTGCCCGAGTATTACCCCGTTGGGGTCGGCTCTAGGCGATCTCGGGATCTGCCTCCCAGTTTTCTAGTCTCTGGTTGTACTATTCAGCCTTTGGCTGCTTTTTCTTCGCACTTTGTGTGGTTCATTAATATAGTATTTATATCATTATCTTAGTAATGATAACATTTATAAATGTGATATGCTTATTATCTAATTTATAATTTTTAAATTTTACATAAAACACACACACACACACATATATATATACATAATGTATAAAATTTTATTTGAATTTGTGCATGTGCACAGGATAGAATATTAGTTTATTTAAAAAATTGTACTGTTACTACCAGTCTGACCGACTGGTGTTGACCGGTTCTCTAGCAAACATTTTATTCAAGCGATATATATGTATTTGGTATATATTTATTATACAACATTTATTTCATGATATATACATGCAATGTTTTACAAGATCAACACGTACTGCTAATGTGCAATGAACCATTCTACTTGATAAACATTGTAATTTGCAGCCATATCAATATACATTGCATATTTATGAAACAATGATGTTGTGGTTTCTTAGGCAATGACTGTAAATAAGAGTCAGGGACAATCGTTATCCCAAACCCAAAACATTGTGTACAAGAATTTATTCAATAATTTATAATTTTTTTAACCTATTTGGGATCCATTTATTTTTGTTAGATATATATAAAATATATTAATTTTAATATTTCACATGTTCATTCCAAAAAAAATATTTCTACCTTTACCGAGAATGGAATCGCACAGAAATTTTTTATATTTACCTTTACCCTCACAAAACACAACCAGCCTGGAGCCTCAACCCTCTCGCAATCCCCTCCTCGCGACTGCAGCCAGCCAGCTACAAACCCTACTCTGCTGTTCTCTGTCGTCCCTCCTTAGCTTCAGGTGAGTATTTAATTTTGCTTCTCTTTTCTACTCGAGATTCTAGGTTTTCTTTTCATTGTTCTCAACTAATATAATCAGGAGATTTTGGCCCGAGTCTGTGTTCTCACTTTTTGATTATTCGATATTTTGTAAAATTGGGGCCGAGTGTCAGTGATTTACATTGTCTCCTGCTGCTCCAAGGAATTCGTACAGTTTATCTGCAGGCTCAAAACCCCTTCTCGCTGCATACGCTGTTGCGCGCTTTATAATTTCTTGGGGTTTGTTCAAGGTAGATTATTCTCCTCTTTGTTTTTCTGTAGATAAATGCTTTGGTTCGTTTATTGTGTTGACTTCTTTTTCTCAGAGCCAGAGGGCGTTTGAGATTTAGTTCTAAGTTGTGTAATCGATGTTGCACAATGTTCTTATTATTATCTTACTCCATTTTCAGCAATTCTGGAAGTAACATTCTAATTTTATTTATTTGATTCTCCCTTCCTTTATTTTCTCCCTTTCTTTCATTTTCCTTTTTTCTATTTTTTTTTCAGCATAGTTTGTGTTAGAAAGCTCAACCTTTGAACCTCAAATTATATTGGAAAAATAATGAGCATTTTCATTTGAAACTGATGACTGTTGTGCTGCATGTTAATTTGTGTGGTATTTCTTGTGCAAGCTATCTAAATAACTTCAATCACGCAAGTAAAATTAACTTCATATAAAGATTAAGGTGATTGGACTGCTTAGGACTGGTGGTGGGTTCTGCCTACCTAAGGACAAGAAGTCGATGTCTTGTAAACAAAATGGAAATATAATCTTATTTGAAAACTATGAAGATTGTAACCATAACAAATGACGGAACCGACTGTGCCATTGAATGCATTTACCGGTAAGAGATTTTGCTTTATAAGAAAAGTTAGGGAGCTCAAGAAGCTGAACAGAATAATTAGAATTTCCATATGTTGCATTTTAATTTCGCACAATGTCTACAAGATTTAATAATCAAAACGTTGCGCCCACACTGCTTCTTAATGACTAGAATCATATTCTTGGTCTTATCCTTCATTCCTTATTCTTGGGTATTCTCCTTTCTAATTATAAAGGCTCCTTCTATACCTGACATGATTTTCAGATTTTTGCCTAACCTTAGTTATTGGAGAAATTTAGGCGATACCAAATATTCACACTATTATTTGGACTTCTTTAATATAAGATGCAGTAGCAACTAAAATTAATCGTTATCTTCAATTGTTTAACCCGTGTTCGAAGTTTGCTGCTCCCTTTTATACATCTTGCATCGCTATATCACATTTTCACGCACTTCCATTGATTAAATCTAAGATAAAGCGAGCACTATCAACCAAACGTGAACACACCCAAAATGATGTGTCCACTAATTTCCTCTACTCTTTTCTCGTCATATTACTAAAAAATCTAAACATCCTTGCCTTCGATAAGAGGAATCCCTCGAGATTCATTCATGCACCTTGGGGTTACATGCACACAAAGTCACTTTACGTCTGTTTCTTTTACACTCGCATGTGCCAAGGAATTAATTAATTAACTAATCACCACCTCTTCAACAGACTCCTATCTTCTCCTCTGATTTTCCGCATGGATCGACCTCCCCACGATTACGGTCCTCCCATGGCTTACAGTCAGCAACAGCAACAGCAGCAGCAGCAGCAGCAGCAGTATAGTTTCCACCCTCAGCACCAACAACAATTCCCCTCGTCTGGCCCACCGCCTTTCATGCCACCTCATCCTTCCCTCCAACAATTCTCCTACTCCCGAC